TATAGAGCAAATCGCCTCTCATCTGGGTGGGCCTGATTTAACGCACTGAAAGGCCTCACCAGCGGAACTGAGTCTCCCTGAGGAAGAAACAATTCTACTGTAGACAGCAGCTTCTAGAACTCTTCTAGAGTTGCAGTGGCCTGTGCTATGGATTTTGGACTCACCTAGTCAGCCCCCATAACAGCATAGGCCAATTCCTTGCAATTTCTTTTCTTTTTTTCCCAAATTATGAGAAAGTTTATTTAGAAAGTTACGAAGGTAGTGGAAGTGAACCAGCTGGGCTGTGTATGCTCAAGAAACAAATTACAGAAGCCAAAGAAGGGCCCTTGGACCTTAGGAGAGGGAAAGGCGAAGGTAACACGCCTCGCGGGAAGGAAGAAGGGGATAGGAAAGGCATGGGCATGCTGCCAAGAGGGAGAGACTGCAATAAACTTCTTTAAAAAAAAAAAAGGTTGTATTTATTTTTAGAGAAAGGAGAAGGGAAGGAGAAAGAAAGGGAGAGAAACATTGATGTGTGAGAGAAACTTTGATCAGTTGCCTCTTGGCAACTGAGTCTGCAATCCAGGCATGTGCCCTGACCTGGAGTCGAACAGGTGACCTTTGCTTTGTGGGATGATGCTCAACCAACTGAGCTACATTGGTCAGGGATAAATTTCTTAATATATATCTTCTATTCTGTTTTTGGTTGAACGCTGACTGAGAAAAAATAATTAGCTGTATTTTGGATACTTCCAACACGCTAGAGAAGAACAAAAAGATGGAAAGAAAGTAAATACATGATTATCAAAATGCTCATGTTAAATTTTCTCTTGTAATATAGGCTGAACAGATGACAGAAATGTCAGAACCAGTGAAATAAGGAAGATTATATGAAGCTAAATTGACATTCAAGTCTACAAATGCTTGAAAGATCCACATACCTGGTAATAGAGCTAACACTTTGGATAATAATTATGCTTATTTTCATGTACCAAAACGAATAATAGTTTCTTTCATTTTCTAAATATACTTTGGAATTTAATGTATAAAAAATGATGGCTACTGAATTTTTATTAGACAGAGATAGAAATCTTCAAATAATGTAATTTTACCTCTTTTTAATCATTCTAAATATACAAAATCATACATATTCCAAATGCAATTAACTGTTAGGATCTGTGGCCACACTAACCATCAAGAACTATTTGAGTAGTGGTTCTATGTTGTATGTTTTATGCTGTATAGGAAGTGATAAAAAATTAAACATCACTGAAAAAGTAAGGAAAATGTGGAGCATTTGCCTGTGATTCAGGCCTGTGTAGAAGGCTTCCTGAAGGCAATGGCACGTTTCCTGCTTTTTAGCTAATGGGAATCTCAACCAAGAATCCTGGTGCATGTGCATGCAGCTTAGTGTACCTGGTTAGTAGAGGAGAATATGGATGAAGATAAGAAATCAGTTTACTTCTGAAGGGAATGACTCTGCTTCTGGGAAGGTAGGAGGGATTCCCAATGGGAAGTATGTCCCAAGCAAAGGGGACCTTATAGATAAGGCTTATAATGCTTATAAGATAGCATTAAAGTTATTCTTAGTGGGCGGCTATAGATATATTATACCACCATGAGAAAATACTAACAATGGGAGGTACTCAGAGTTATTCTGGAGATGAAACGTTAGCATGTAAAAGGACAGTTGTAGTCATTTAACAAAATTTTGATAATATTAACAATGTTCTGTCATTTTACATTTTGGTACTTGTTTAGGTTGGATTCTCCCGGAAGCAGATGCTGGGATAAAGTTATGAATTTAAAAGTTTTGTTGGGGAGTTAACATCTGTGAAAGTAGAAAGCTTTGGCAGGGAGAGTTGTCACGAAATACTGCAGAGCTGACAAAGCCTCTGCCAGTTCAGCAGGGAGATCTGAGAAGCAAAAACTGCTCCTTAAAGAGGTCCAGTGTCACGCAAAAGTGTCTAGACCTGTGCCCCTACCGTTCAGTCAATGGCCAAGTGCCACCCTCAAAATGGCATGACCTCGGTATGAAAGCTGAAGGAAACCCTCACAAAAAAGCTGGAGTTTGTTGGTTAATCAGCACTCCTTGATGCTGGGCACAGTGTGTGCTTTCTTGACAGGAAGTCAGTCTGCTTATCTCCACGTCTGCCCCAGCTCTGCAGTGTGGCATTAAGGACATTTGGGTGGCTGTGTATTTGGAGATGAAAATTAATTAGGCCAGAACAAGAAGTGTTAGTGAAGTGCACTAAAATTCAAAACTTTCAGTTGAGATAATTTATAGTGGTACACCACCATCAATTCCTTAGGTAACTAGAGCAATCACCACCAACAAATTAGGGATTGAAAATACTGGATGTCGCATGAGGCCCCTCGAGTGAGAAGACTATTGTTGCTCCCATTTCATCCCACATAAATTGCCCCCAGGAGGACAACTGTGGGCCTCTGCTTGTGATGGCCTATCACAGGTCAAACTGCCTTAGTTGTGAAATGGGCAAGAGGAGTTCGGAATGGCTCTTTTTGGGAAGACGAGAAAGAATTATTTGCTTCATAAAGATCAAGAAGGTGGGATTTAAGAAAGTGGCTCTTTTTGATGCATCGCTTTTTTTTTTGTCTTCTGTACAAATTCCATAGTAGTGAGGGACGGAAAGAAACGAGGGCTTTTCGGGGGGGAGGTGAGGGTCCAGAGGGGTGCATGCACGGTGCTCAATACAGTGGAGCCTCGGGAGTGCCACCGCTTCCTATAGGTTTGGCTTTGACAGGTTCCTCAACCCTCAGTGCCTTAGTTTCTTGATTTGCTAAACAAGGATTACAATTGTCCCGACGTCATGGGTTGCTGCGAGGATGAAATGATATTAACACAGGCCATCCCTGGCTTGAGAAGGGTTCAATACCTGTTAGGTGTCATTCTACTTCACATCTGCTTCCTCTTCCACTGGGGAAAAAAATGCTTTCTTGTTGAATTTTTCACCTGTTCTCCAGATTAGCAAAACGTTCACAAAATTTGGGAGGAGGGTAAAATTGAAAGAACCTATAACTTTAACAGGATTCAGCATGTCTGCTTTTGGTCATGTCATTGGTTTTCATTGCTATCTTCTTGGTACCGTTCTGGGTGAGCTATATGTAAAAAATGGCCTCTGTCCAGGGCAGCAGTCTACTTGGAAAACAAATGGACATATAAATGATTAATGAAAATAAAAGTGCATATAAAATTAAGTTCTAAATAACTTATACAGACCATAAGTGATGTAGAAATCTGATTTCATTTTGTGGACATTGGCTGCTGGGTTTTTTTCAAAATGATTTATGCTCTTTTTATTTTTAATTTTTCTTAATATTTTTTAAAAAATTCAATGACTGTTGTTTTGATCACTGAAAGGTGATACCATTTGGGTGAAGTCATGAGGATGAGCTCTTGTACAGTAACACAATAAAATGTCTTATGTTTATTTAGAATATAAAATACATTAAGTTAGCTCAAAAGAAAGCAAGTTTAAAGAAATTTAAATATATCATTACCTCTTAATATTGTTCTCTACTTTTAATGCTTTCTACTACTACTACATATGTTAAGATGGCAAAAATAGGAAGAGCTGATGAACTCTTTGAAGAAAACTATTATGGAGATTAATTTTTTTTATTTTTTGGTCATTGATCTCAATAAGTTTGTCTTTATCTTATTTTTTCTAATTTAAACAACCTAGGCTCATCCGCTGGCCTTCTCCATTCCAGAAATCCCCTTCGGTGACTCAGGAGTTAAAGTAAAAAAGATAGCTGGGCCAAATCACGTGGGATCATATTGTAGTTTCAGCTTATAGAAGGCAGGTCTTTGGGTTAAAAGTTTCTCCACCTACACTGCCAATCACACCCTTCTCAAAAGAGAAACATGTTGTGTGTCCTGTGGGAGATACACACATTGTAGGTGTGGATTAAAAAAAAATGGGGGGTTTTATGAAAAGTAATCTCACAGGGTGACCTGATCATAAATTCCTAAGTGGGCAGGTCGTGGTAGGTAGTCATCACTCAGGCATACAACTTCAGTGAAAGGTTTTAAGCCAGCCCTGCCCATTGTCCTGTGCATCGAGGTTTAACACACCTTCGAAATACCATAAGTAACACCCTTCAAAGGGGGTATTGACCCTCAAGAGAGCACATGATTTTAACAGTCCTGTAATCGAAGCTCCATTTTGCTTTCTCTAATCTTAAGTCCCCTCCTTAAAACCAAATGCGTAAAAGTAGCCGCAAAACAATTACCTTCCCGAGTATTTGAGATCTTGCTAACTGGCATATGTCATCAATTAGGCTTAGATAAAGTTTAAAAATTGTGTACAAGTTTGGATAGTTCTTATGCCGACATAGGTCACGTGTGGTTAACCACCTACTGAGAGTGTTTAACAATGTGATACACGAAGTGAGTCCTTGCTGTTAAATTCTTCCGAATTATTAATGTATACCCACAAAAATAGTTCCTATCATTTCATTATTTTCTTGTATTCTCTCAGTAACCTAGGGCTCTAAAGGCCTCTTTCCTCTAGAAAAGATGTATGAGTGGTGAGATGTATGAGTATGGCTGAAGAGTCCTTGGATTATGGATTCTTAAATCTCTTAGTACCAAGAGGAAAACAACAACAAAATATTTTAAGGATACCTCTAATCTCACTGATGATAAGTGTTTTAGAAATGTCCTGGAGATGGATCTTCCTGTATCGTCCTAGGCCTGGTGAGTAATAAGAGGAAATGCTGGTTAATGGGTGGCAGGTCCCCAGGTGTTCTTGGAATGCGTTCCCTCCCTCCACTTCTGTTTCTGCCTGGTGTGCCTGTGCACCAGCCCGTGCCTGCGCGAAAACCGCACAACAGGAAAGACCAATCAAGGACGGCGATCTCCGCCTCCCCGCCCCACCCTCGCCTTTTGCCACCGCCCACTCTCCGCGGGCGGACAACCTACACAGCTCCCGGTGACTTGCCTTACTTTTCCATCTCCTCCCACCCGACCAACGCCCCCTCCACTCGCGCCGCGGATGGGACGCCGGAGGACCCAGCAGGCATGCGCGACCATCCCGAGCATGCTCAGTAGCGCGCGCGGCGCCCCGGAGCTTCACCGACCCGCTGCTGACGCGGAGGTCTCCGCGGATGCCGCGGGAGCGACAGGAAGTGAAGCGGCCTGTCCCGGTGACCGCGGAGGCAGAAACAGGGGCGGAAGGGACCCTGCGGCGACGTCGTCGTCGACAGGGGTGACGGAGGGGGCTGAGCACCTGGGGGACTCGCCGGCTCGGAAGCCGGATCCCGACCCGGGCAGGATGGATTATCATCAGCCGGGGACTGGCCGCTACCAGGTGGTGAGTTCTCGGCCCTCGCCCCGGCCCCCTGAGCCCCTGGGGGCTCCAGGATTGTCTTCGGCCGTGCCCCCGAGAGTCCCTTTTTTCGGATTATTCCCGGGGGGGACGTGCTGGCTTTTCTTTTCTCTCTTTTTTTTTTTGGTGGGTCTTCTGGCCAGACCTGCGTTCTTTACGTCTCCTGTGGAGCCTGTCTCTGCACTTCTTTGAGATTCTTCCCTCCCGATCTATCTCCTAGCTCCCCACCCCCCATCCACACCCTGTACCCATCTGTACAATATCCCCGTCATTAAAACTTATGTCTGTTTTATTTCTTACTTTCTCGATCATTTCCTCATTCCCTGACTCAGACACTTCTGATATATACCACTGGATTGTCTGCTGGAAATGGTAGGGAGTTCACATACCTGCTGGGAAGGTGATCGCCATCATAAATGGAGTGGGGGGAGGGGAATGAGATGTAAGCATTACGTAGGGTCAGTTGTGGACTTGGCCAAAAAAGCAAAACAAAACAAAACAAACCCGCGGGGATTTAAAGATTGCAACTGTAGAGAGTAGTGGTGCTGATTTGGTCTCTCAGCTCTAGTTAACCTTGTCATTTTGTCCTTTTCCATTTTGTTAGTACATGTTGAAAGTGACTGTTCTTTTTTTCTATCCTCACTTTTTCCCCCTATGTGGGGAAACAGGGCGTTTTACTAGAAAAATGCTAATCTTGTTAGAAAAATAATTTTTCATTAAGTACAAAGTTTTCCAGTTTAACCACATAAACCTTTGTATGCTGTAATGAGGGAAAAGTGTTCCTCGTATCTTCAGTGTCACATTTTCTAATATACAGGGTCTGGCAGAAATAAGGCCTGCTTGAGTGTGGTTGGTCGGGTAATAATATGGGTGTAATAATTTATAGTTTTAATTTGAACATTTCACCAAAAACATCATATAGTGTGCTTGAGTGTGATATTGTTATGTTACAGAATTACATGCTTATGATTTTGTGATAAGAGATTTTGTAGTAAAAAAGGGGCATTATTTGTGCTGGATCTTCTATTTTTCCCTCTATTATTCTAGTGGTATCATTGGAACCCCCATTTAAAAGGTGGACTCAGCAGTAGTTGACTATTTTGTTCCAATTGATGAGGTAATTAATAGTACTGTTTGTGACATTTTACAAATGCATACATGTTAGTGGAGAGTTCATCTTTCAAATCTATTTGCACATGTGAAACTTATTTGTGAACTAAGAATTTCAGTTAATAAGTGCATTTTGACGAAAATGAACACTACTCAAAGATGAAATCCCAGTGTAAGTTTGCATTTTTCTACGATAAAAGCTCCTGGTGCTTCCATTTCACCTGGTTTACATCCTGTAAAACTTCCAAATGAGCCATATTCTGAATGCTTTGGAAATTTATCAGTTGTTTTTTTTTTTCAGGACAGTTTAGAAAATATTACCGCCAAAATGTAAGGCATTTTTCAAGTTGTCAGTGTATATGGGTTTGGTGGTTTTATTTTTTTTAAAGGCATTTTTTTTAAAGGCATTCTTATTTTTGCAGACATTAACAAAAAAAAATGCATTAAGTAAATATTGAATATTCATACCAGTGGGAATTGTTCCTTTTTGTAATCTCTTTTCTTTCCTGTTCCTATTTGTTTTCCTTAATGGCATTAAATGATTTGAATTCTTTCTCTTTGGGTGTTTTGCTTATCAGAATTAACTGTGTTCTCCTACGGAAGTCAGTACTCAAAATATTTTTTTAACCAATGTAACTGTGCCTTCAAATAATGTTATATTTTCACATTTGCTTCCAGTGCTTATGACTAGTTAAGACTTAATTATTAGTTTTTAAAAGTTTCTAATACCAAAGTATTGAAATTTGCTTATTCAGTTTTAAGGGGTTCCCCCCCACCTCTAAAACTCATTCAGAATAAGTGGAGAGTATCATTTTTTTAAATTTTTTTCATACTGGTGTGTCCTAGCATGACTGGGTGGAGGCATTCCTTCAGGGCAGAGGGCAGAATCAGTTCTTCTGAAGATTCTACTCACTTTAAGTAGGCAGGACATCAGTTTGTTTTCTTTGTAAGGCAACGTGTTTGAGAATCTTAGCATAGTTTAAATTTGGATTTTAATTTTTGTTGTTACATAGTAATTTCATCTGGTATTGTTGAAATGGCCTAATCAATAACTCTATGTATATGCCAGAAAAGCAGCTGAATTGGTTTCCAGTAGACTCTTTTATCCAGGGACCAATCTGCAACTGTGGCTTACATGGTGAACACAGTTTGTGTGGCTTCCTTTAGCTCTGTTAAAAAAAAAAAAAAAAAAGGAAGAGAAACTCTGGAAGGATTAATAACCTTGAGCAATAATGAATTTATGAATTTCAGTTGTAAAATTGGAGACAGGCAAGCGTGCTTAGGGGTGAAATGGTATGCAATGTCAATTTATCACATATTGAGAGAGTTTAAATTTAGCTTTCCATATTGGAAGGTTATTTATGATGCCTGGGTCCATCAGAATGACTCACTGCCATTAACGAGTGCACAGGTTTTTTTTGTGGAAAATGGCCTTTTCTGTGGTCTCTTCCCTTCCAATGTTAAGTGGGCCTGAATTTTGTTAAGTAAAGCAGTGGATAACTACAAAAAGCCTTGATTGTTACCTAATTTCAGAAAAAGCTGGGTATGATAGGTAGTGTCATTGTGTTATGGGAAATTCAGTTTTGTTTGGTAGGAAATGAGCAATGTTGCCAAACTATGAAGTGGTTGACATGGCCTGAAGCTGTTAGGCCACATTCTAACTTTGATGTTCTGTATTTTAAAGGATTATGTGCCTGTAACAAGCTGACTGCTAAGATTTCAAAGGTATTATTCTATGTAAAAGTTAAATTGGCACTGTATATTTTAACAGTAGTTTCCCAAACTGTATTCCAGAATGACGATAAAAGTCTTAGAAGATTTGTAACATGTGTTAATATAATAAAACATACATTTGCGTATCAAAACCATGAGGAATTATGAAAGTGATGGTTTGGATTTGTTTAACCCAGCTCTCCCTACACCTTGGCCACAGATTTTTAAAGAAAATTTTAAAATTAGGTTAACATTTCCAAATGTTAGTTTTCTATGAACATAATAAAGTATTCACACTATGAGGATCTAGATACTTTTTACTTTTGAAAAAATAAATGATTTAGAGAGAGAGAAAAAGGGACAAACATCAGTTTGTTGTTCCACTTATTGATGTATTCATTGGTTGATTCTTTTATGTGTCCTGACCAGGGATCAAATTTGCTTTTTTATTTGGAGAATTAGAGTTACCCTTGATTCGTCAGCTGGGAAGGACATTGACTATTAATGGTTAAAAAATGTGTTAAAGTCATCTGGGGTTATATTTAGGATATGCTGTTTACAATATGGCTTAGTTAAAGTCTTAAAGCCTCAGCTTTCTCATAGTAGTACCTACTTCATTAGGATTATTATGAGAACTATATAATGCAATATATGTAAAAGATGTAATATATGTAAAAGAGATATAGAGACTGATACATCAAAAATAAATATGAATAATGTAAACTATAAAATATTAAAAATATTTCAGTTTTTGCTGATGATTGATTACCTTTGTGTCTTGTTTTATTTAGCAACCTGGATATCAACTAGTTCTTTGTTTATATCAAGAGCTGAGAAAAGTCTTTAAGATTTTATTTTACCATATTAACAAGCTAATAAATTAGTATGTTAATGTTTCATGATTGCTGGCAGAACACAGGAGACTCCCCAGGTCAGAGACGAATGACATGATTATTACTCACAGCGTAGCAAGCTGCATGCTCATCAGCATGTTTGTGTAGGTTTTCCTTGCACTCAGGACCCATGAGGGTAATGGGTCTGGATGGATGCCCGAGGGGGCTGCGGCAGAGGAACACTGGAGCAAGGGCCAGGCACTTGTTGGCAGGCAGAAAACAATGTAGCAAACAACAAACAAGCTAGTTTACCTTTCCCTGGGAAGGCAGTTAACATAGTGTGATAACCTTGACCTTCTTTGTTGCCTATGTGACTTACTACAAGAATTCACTCAGTATCAGGAAATAGATAAGCTTTGAAGACTGTCACACTCCACAAGAATGGGCAGGGACACTCAGGCCCATGGTGGACTGCCTTGCCCAATAGAACATGTTCTAGAAGAGATACTGTTGATTTTAAGTGTAGTAATTTACTTTTGTTTTCCCTTTTAAAGAAGTTTTGTAGTCTTTTACTGTATGTTCTCTAGTGATTACCTTCTTTGCTTGGCACCACTCAGTTTTTTTGATCTTCACTTGTTTGTCTCCTTTGAACTTATCAATATTCTTTATCTGGTTTATATTCTTACCACACCCCTTTTACATCATCAAGATTGCCCATTGCCTAATGTAATAGATATTTTTCAGTTCTTGTGTTGCTTCTTTTTTTGTTACAGTGACACTTTAAGCTTTTTCCTTGAAGATCCTTTCTTATTCCTGATATGAAGAAATTTTTACTCTTCTTTGACTTTTCTTTTTCGGTGAACTTATTTTGTGCTTCTTAAATGTTGATACTCTCTGTGGCATGGACTATTGTGCTAACCTATTTACTACTTTCTTCCTTCATCTGACCATCTTCCAGTGTATCTTTCATGTGCACTGCATGAGTCATATTAGTGAAATCTTACTGACTTCTTCCTTCCTCTACATTTAATATTACATCTTTCAAATATATAGAAAAGTCAAAAGAATTGTACAGTTACCAAGTAAGGTCTACAGTTATTAACAGTTCTGTATTTGTATTACTGTATATCTATTCTTATTTTTTGATGCTTTCAAAGTAAGTTGCAGATATACATGTACATCATTATAAACCTCATGCTTATTGTTAACCTAGAGCTTAATATTTCTTTATGGTTTTCTCTTTGGGGTGAAGCTGATGTATAGTGAAATGCCTTACATGTCTTACATAAGTCTTACATGTCTATTGGGTGAGTTTTGATAAATGCATAC